GAACCTGGATGTGACCCGGGCACAAAATCAATCTGCGTGCGAGTCCTGGGACAGACGGAAAGCGATCAGAATAGGTCACTTGAGCTTAAAGAAGTTAAAGCTCAAACAAGGACTACCTCAGAAAAAGTAGAAGAAAAGAAGAAAGAACTAGAATCAAATATTGAGGAAAGTTTAGCGAAAGATTGAAGGCCCTGGAATCATCTATACATCAAAAGGACCTGGAAATCACCAATCTTTAAAAGGAAATCAAACAATTAAAAGTGCAGTGTAAATGCAAGGAACTTTTCACAGCTTACCCCGACGCGGGGAACAATATCATGCATCAATCATGTGAACATGACAAAGTAACAGAGAGCTTAGTAGATGTATCATCGATTCGAAGCAACTCAACTAACTCCTGAGCCACAAGTAAATCCAGTTAAAAGATAATAACATCGCTTCAGGAACTGCCGGAGGACCTAGGACGCGGTGTTGCAAACCATGTCAAGGATACGCCTTACAATACAAAAGAAAAACGGTCGAAATTACAAGTGGCATATATTCTGAACCATCTCAACAATTTGTCAACAACCTCAAGGAGGAAGCCTTCAGTAGTTGCAAAGCCTCTACTAATTAATTCAACGTGCGAGAGACAAGATTTGGTCAAACACGTTCCTCCAATTTACCTGCTAACACCAGTTAAGAATGAACTCTCCCATCTTAACACATACGAATTGGCAGCGTTTGATGACTTGATGTCCACCTTGGATCCTCCTTTTTGTTTATTTTTTTTTATCAAAAACATTTATATATAGTATAACAAAAGTACAACACAACACGGAAGTAATATTTTCTGTATGGTTACACGTCTGCACAGGTAGATCTAAAAATGATGGCTGGGGAGGCATATTCAGTTTGGAATTTGTTTATATAATGACAAACAGACATTAAACAGAAATGTTAGCTTGGAAAACTAAACTTAATTCTGAGCCAGGAATACTATATTTATATTGTACATGGTAATCTGACACTGTCTAGTATATTTGTGTATATAAAACTTAGTATGAATGATATTTGGGTCCTAACAAACAGCAGGATTTTCTTTAAAGTTTGACAAATTATATTACAAATTACAGAGACTAGATCAGATTTTATTCGAAGTTTGACAAATTATTTTATTCGAAGTTTGACAAATTATACTGTCAAAATAGAAACTGGTTCAGATTTTCTCAAAAGAGTGACGAATTATACTATCCACATAGAAACTAATTACTTTATTGCCGATTTATCAATTGAAGAAATACACATACAACAAACTTTTGTTCTAATCCGGTGTCCACTTTGGATCCTCCTTTTTATTATTCATCAGATATATATTTATATATAGTATAACGCAAGTACAGCACAATGAAGTAATATTGTATTCTTATAAGTACATGTGATTACACATTTCCAAGTGAAGTCTGGATATCGATTGTTCACATATCATCGTCACGTCACGCACGTAGATTATGCATTCCTTTGGTTTACATCCTATTAACAGCGAAGGTAATTTAAAGACGTGTTTCTATGTGTGTAGTGTGTGTATGCAATGTTGGTGTGGTTGCGTGGATATAATGCCGACTTTATAGTGCTATCTCACTGAAATGCCATGCCGAAGGCACCAAGCACAGCATTTCGCCCGGTCACATTATACATACAACGGGTGAACCAGTTGTTGTCATTTCCAGGAATGCTGAACGTTAAGCAGGGAATAACTACCATTTTTAAGGACTTTTGTATGTCTCTGCCAGGAAATAAAACCCTTTGTTTTCCTCGCTTGGACGAACGCTCAACATTAAAGTGAGGTGTTGCCAAGCAAGGCGCTAGGAAATAAAAGGTAGTTAGGAGTAGAACGAAAAATAAAGATTCACAATATTCCAATAGGGGCAGCATACTTATTTTGGTCGCTTTTGTGTCCCCAAATAGAGTACATCAAAGCAAGTCTCCAATATTTATATATAGTATAACGCAAGTACAGCACAATGGAGTAGTATTGTCTGTTTGGTTACACGTCAGCACAGGTAGATCTATAAATGGTGGCCGGGGAAGCATATTCAGTTTGGATTCTATAAAATTAATGACAAACAATCATTAAACATAAATGTGCCTTAAAATATAAATTTAATTCTGAGCCAGAAATACTTTCTAACAGAAAATTACTGTAGTTCCTCAAGAGTCTGGAGAAGAAGATTTTTGAAATATTGGTTAATTTTCTCTTTGGGTCCCCGCCCTGGCCCCAGTGGTTGTGGTAGAAATCCCAATTTTACAATTTTGTAGCCTCAACTACCAAGAATGATTCTGACTAAGTTTGAAAAAAATCTATCAATTCTAGTTCTTTCTTCTTCTTTTTCTGGGCTAGTCCTTGTTTGAGCTTGAACTTCTTAAAGCTCAAGGACGGACGGAAAGCGATCAGAATAGGTCACTTGAGCATGAAGAAGTTAAAGCTCAAACAAGGACTAACCAAGAAAAAGTAGAAGAAAAGAAGAAAGAGCTAGAATCAATTATTGAGGAAAGTTTAGCGAAAGATTGAAGGCCCTGGAATCATCCATCATCTACACATCAAAAGGACCTGGAAATCACCAATCTTAAAAAGGAAATCAAACAATTAAAAGTGCAGTGTAAATGCAAGGAACTTTTCACAGCTTACCCGGACGCGGGGAACAACATCATGCATCAATCATGTGAACATGACAAAGTAACAAAGAGCTTAGTAGATGGTTCATCGATTCGAAGCAACTCAAGTAACTCCTGAGCCACAAGTAAATACAACAAGAGGCCCATGGGCCTTAACGGTCACCTGAGTCCTACAGTATTTATTTTTGTTGTTGAAATATGTACCAATTTGAGTAAAAAATAGTTAAGTATAATGTTAACTTAACTTTGTCAGGACCATGAGCTGATCATTCCTTGACCGATTTTAAATAAGATCGGCCTATTAGAAATTGTTTTTAAGTTTAGAATAGGTATTTACAAAATAGCGGCTGTGGTGGCCATATTGGATTTCTGATTGACCTGAAAAATAACAACACTTTGTCAGGACCATGAGTCGATCATTCCTACCAACTTTCAGTTCAATCGGCCCAGCAGAACTTGACTTTAAGTTTGAAATAGCTATTTTCAAAATGGCGGCCGTGGCGGCCATATTGGATTTCTGATTGACCTGAAAAATAACAACACTTTGTCAGGACCATGAGCTGATCATTCCTACAAACTTTCAGTTCAATCGGCCTAGCAGAACTTGACTTTAAGTTTGAAATAGTTTTTCAAAATGGCGGCCGTGGCGGCCATATTGGATTTCTGATTGGCCTGAAAAATAACAACACTTTGTCAGGACCATGAGTAGATCATTCCTACCAACTTTCAGTTCAATCGGCCCAACAGAACTTGACTTTAAGTTTGAAATAGGTTTTAAAAATGGCGGCCATATTGGATTTCTGATCGACCCGAAAAATAACAACACTTTGTCAGGAACATAAGGCGATCATTCCTACCAACTTTCAGTTCAATCGGCCCAGTAGAACTTGACTTTAAGTTTGAAATGTAAAATGTTAACGGACGACGGACGACGACGGACGAAAACGGATAGCAATAGATAAAAATTGATTAAAAGATAATAACATCGCTTCAGGAACTTCCGGAGGACCTAGGACGCGGTGTTGCAAACCATGTCAAGGATACGCCTTACAATACAAAAGAAAAACAGTCAAAATTGCAAGTGGCATATATTCTGAACCATCTCAACAATTTGTCAACAACCTCAAGGAGGAAGCCTTCAGTGGTTGCAAAGACTCTACTAATTAATTCAACGTGCGAGAGACAAGATTTGGTCAAACACGTTCCTCCGATTTACCTGCTAACACCAGTTAAGAATGAACTGTCCCATCTTAACACATAAGAATTGGCAACGTTTGATGAGTTGATGTCCACCTTGGATCCTCCTTTTTGTTTATTTTTTTTATCAAAAACATTTATATATAGTATAACAAAAGTACAACACAACACGGAAGTAATATTTTCTGTATGGTTACACGTCTGCACAGGTAGATCTATAAATGGTGGCCAGGGAGGCATATTCAGTTTGGACTTTGTATAAACGATGTCAAAAGGACATTAAACAGAAATGTCAGCTTGGAACTTTAAACTTATTTCTGAGCTAGAAACACTTTCTATATATTGTACATGGTAATCTTACATTATATTTGTGTATATATTTTTTGTTTGTTTGATTTTGTTTAACGTCCTATTAACAGCTAAGGTCATTTTAGGACGGCCTCTCCTGTGTGCAAGATGATGCATGCGTGTAGTGTATGTGTGTGTATTTTGGGAGGCTGCGATATGTTCATGTTTGTCTTCTTGTGATAGCGCGGAACTGATGCCGACTTTATAGTGCTACCTCACTGAAACATACTGCCGAAGACACCCAGCAGGACGCCCCACCCGGTCACATTATACTGACAACGGGCGAACCAGTCGTCCCACTCCTAATTTGCTGAGCGTTAAGCAGGAGTAGAAACTACCATTTTTAAAGACTTTGGTATGTCTCGGCCAGGGGACAGAACCCAAAGCCTTCCTCACAGGGGCGAACGCTCAACAAATGGCCAAAAGTGAGGCATTGTCAAGGGAGACATTAGGAAGAAGAAAGTTATTTAGAAAGGAGAGAAGAGATAAGGTCCCAAATTTAGTCGCCTCTTACGATCATGCAATTGGGGGCAGCAGGTACAATTCTTACGCCCTACCTGCAGGGACAGTTAGGAGTAGAACGAAAAATAAAGATTCACAATATTCCAATAGGGGCAGCATACTTATTTTGGTCGCTTTTGTGTCCCCAAATAGAGTACATCAAAGCAAATCTCCAATTCTGCAGGGGGTTACTCATTAGTCCCATATCACTGAAATGCCATGCCGAGGGCACCCAGCACACCATTCCGCCCGGTCACATTATACTGACAACAGGTGAACCATTGGTTACCATTCCCCTAAATGCTGAACGTTAAGCAGGTAATAATTTTTCAGGACTTGGGTATGTCCCGACCTGGAGACAAAACCTATTGCCTTCCTCATCTGGGCGAACGCTTAACATACTTTACGATCTTACTGACTGGGAACACATGTTTTAAGTTTCGGTTGTACTTTAAAAAGTTTGACAGCGTTGCTGTGCGAAAAATAGGTTTAAAAGCTGTATGTAGTAGTTTGATATTTGTTTGTTCAACAGATTAAGCAAGGCTTACAAATAGTGAGTTATACACATGGCTTTATATACATGAATCACGTGAGCAAGCTGAAGATTAAGGTTGATGCTCTGTGAAGAGATGCCTTGATTAACGAACTTCGACTAAATTCTTTTATTAGCTCTCATGAATGTTAACCATGGGCCATGCGTGTAAATGTGTTAGTAATGGTGTATATCTTTATTATGAGGCTCTGTGAAGCAGTCAACAGTCGGAATTCGGGATGGAATGATCTAATTGAAGTGATCATAGATTTTAAGGGAAAAGGTGATATGTGCTCCACGGACAAATGGTGGAAGAAGTGTTAAGTCTGCCATTGTTATTCTTCAGATTGAATGCAATGGCATATGTCGTGTTACCAATTTCCGGACTTTAATTGGTTCCGTTATCAGAATCTCCCTCTACGTCTCCAGAACGCTTGTACGTAAAAGAAACGGCAACCCACGCTATTAGAAACCAGAACAATATCCTCAGAACTATTATGATTTGTCACCAAGGGCCTATAGGGTAGGTTATTTGTCATGTAAAGGTTATATTTGCTGATGTGTCATGCTATTCTATGGTGAATTTATCGAAATGCCAGCTATGTAAGCAGTGAAATGTAACGTATAAATTCTAGTTTCGTTTTACACTAATTTTAGAGCTTCCGGAATTATATTGCCTGAATGTAACGATAGTTTCTGTAATCTTTCAGTTTTTACTCTGTTCTCATCTAACATGGAATTTGGGCAGCGTCTACTGTGATTGATTCTGTGAAATAAAGAACAATAAAGAACTTTTGTACCCAGATGTTATTTTGATTGCTGAGTCTTCAGTACAGCATATATGATGTGAACGCTGATCTGCTGTAGCAAGAATTCCCTGCAGATAGGGCGTAAGGATTGTACTGCTTCCCCATTGCATGATCGTAAGTGGATCTTATCTTTTAACTTCTTTCTAAACAACTTTCTTCTTCCTAATGTCTCTTGACAATGCCTCACTTTTGGCATCAAATTGAGCGTTCGCCCCTGTGAGGAAGGCTTTGGGTTCTGTCCTCTGGCCGAGACATACCAGGGTCTGTAAAATGGTAGTTTCTACTCATGTTTAACGCTCAGAGAAATTAAGGAGTTGGACGACTGGTTCACCCGTTGTCAGTTTAATGTGACCAGGTGTGGTTTCCTGCTGGGTGTCTTCGGCAGTATCTGTGAGTGAGGTAGCACTATAAAGTCGGCATCAGTTCCCTGCTATCACAAGGAGACAAACACGAACATAGCGCAGGCTCCAGAACACACGCATTCACTAAACGCATGCATCTTGCACACAGGGGAGGCCGTCCTTAAATGACTATCGCTGTTGATAGGACGTTAAACAATACTTCACCAAACTGCTGTAGCAAGAGACACCAAGATGGCTCTCGTTTGGACGGTCTGTCCACCATGTTTGTATAATGCAGCTAGGAAAAGACCAGACACGTCTTTGTTGATCGTTACAATGAATCGGCCCGTGATAGGAGATATTCCGTTTGAATCTTGCCATCAATACAAAATGACGAAAAGCTATTACATATAATGTGTTTTCTTAACGACGGAGTCCATCTGAACTACCATCGTGGATTACCAAATTATATCCGAAGTGTTCGAGGGGTAGTCATTTCTTCGTATAGTAAAATAAATAAGAAGTTCATGGGCCTTAACGGTCTCCAGAGTCCTGCAGTATTCATTTTTGTTGTTGAAATATGTACCAATTTGAGTAAAAAATTACTCAGGTGACCTAAAAAGATGACTGACACAGTAAGTCAGTAAAAAGTTTGAGGTGTTGGTAACGCAATTTACTAGTCAGAATTAGGGCGTATTAAATCAGACGGGTGTTATTCGATAAGTCAGGGGTCATCTCAACAATCCTTATAATGAGTTTTTTGTTTACGTCCATACTTGTAAACAATTATCGAAAGGTCAGGGACTGTTTGACAACGCAAAACGTGTGTTTACAATTTAATGAGTCCCTAAAAACGTCAGTTGATATTCGCTTCTGTGACGGGTTGATATTTAGTGATTTATGCAAGATCAGGGACCCCACAATTTTACTCAGTATTATGCCGTAATGTTTCGGTGACTGATGGGGTAAGGGAGGTAACTCCGATTGATTCCAGAATATCCGTACCGTGTTCCGGATCGTCCCCTGTTCTCAACATTAAAACACCGAGTGAAACCATCATCGTTGTTCTCTCCTTGTTTTTAGGGTCGTCCAGCTGGCACCCAGATCCGGTGTAACATTTTGGGGGCTCGTCCGGGATCCGAGGTGCAGTGGTTGGTTGACAAGAAGGAGAAACTAGCCAAGGAGGATGTGGTGGATAACCTGGATTGGGTTGGAGCGGTCAAAATGGTTAACCAATGGTTGGATACTGCCCTAACGACGGAAGAAGGTGGCACGACAGAAATACTGCTGTTGGGCGACGCCTTACCCCATTTCTTCGAAGTTAAGAAAGAGGCCAACATCAAGAAGGAGGTCAACGTTGAGATGGAGGACCAAACTGGTGAGAAAGCAACAGAGACAGTTAAGAAAGAAGAGGATGCCTACACTTAAACTGGGTTGATAAGGCGAGACTTTAAAATTGTTTGCCAGTTGACAAACGACAAGGGGTCAAGTCTGACCGTTGTAAGTTTGATACGGCAGCTTGAATCTGGATCCCGCAAGGGATATAAGGATTTTGAACTGGTGTAAGTTGGGAAAGGCTATTGATCCCAGCATGTCCCTTAGAGGCTATCTTGAGGGCCGAACAGACTTGACATTCGTGAAGCTGAGGCGTATTTTGCGGTCTCATTTCCAAGAGAAGACCTCATCTGCTCTCTACAATGAATTGGGTATCGCAGCACAAGGCAACAGAGAACCTCAGAATTTCTTGATTTACCTGCTGGACTTGAAACAGAAGGTTCTTTTCACCTCAAAGGAACAGACCGACGAGGTTGCCTTTACTGATAAACAAGTCAACACTTTATTCAAACGCATGCTGGATACGGGCTTGGTGGACGAGACGGTTAGAAGAGAACTCAACCCGATTCTAGAGAGAGAGGGGGTAGATGACGAGGAATTGTTGAAAGTAATGTGTGAAATAACCTCCAAGGAAGCGGAACGAAGGACAAAGCTGAGTGCTTCAAAGCCCAGGCAAGCCAAGGTTAATAGTGTTTCAGAGGATGGTGTTCCAGCAGACCCGGGAACGAAGAGCAATAAGGCACCAAAGGAAGGACTCGTGATGACTGCGATAAAGGAGTTACAGGCTCAGGTGGCTGCTCTGAAGTCTACAGTGGAACACAGGAATATGGAAGCACCAGGGCAAGGTGGGAAAGAAAATAAACAGAGACCTATCAGGAAGTGTGGAACTTGTATGCAGGACAACACAGAAAGATGTACTCGCTGCTGGAAGTGTGGGAGTTCCGATCACTTCTCCAGGGGTTGTCGCGTGAGGGTATCGGAAAACATCCAAGGGTCCTCACACTGGGGGCAGGAGTGACCCAAGGGAGGGACCCCCATGATACCGTTAATTGCGCCAACTGTGGAAAGTATTTAGACAAATGCAGCATTTGCACCGATTGTCTGTCGGCATCTTACTACTCAAGGTCATGTCAGCGACATCATAGGATCGTGTGCCAAAAGATACAAAAACTTTCAGCTACCGAAAGCGTCTCCGTCGATGAAGTTAAGGGTCAAGTTAACGGGCTGTCTCCGCAAAATAAAAACTGACTTGTAAAGTTGATAGGTGAATCATGTGTCGTGCGTGTCAAACTGGAAGGTCAAGATACACCAGTGCTGTGGGACACGGGTGCACAAGTGTCTTTGATTAATGAAACATTTGTTGATTCATGCTTACCACGGAGTGAAATACGAGATCTTAAGGAGCTCACCAGCCTGGGATTAAACATAACATCAGCTAGTGGAGAGTCAATACCATTTCAGGGATGGATGGAGATCAAACTTCAATTAGAGGAAAGTGACCCCCCGATCGTGGTTCCGTTTTTAGTTACAAAAACCGCAGCTGCCACTACAGTTAGAATTACGCCCAAGTATCCACTTTTTGTGGCACGAACGCAGGACGCACGCTTCCCGAACGGAGACGAGCCGCTATACGACCGCAGGACGAACCCGGTGCGAACGCAAGCCTACCGATAGAACCGGTGTTACCGATTAGGCCTAACGCTGTTAGTACAGCCGCTTCCCGAACGGAGCGAGGATATCGGCCGCTACCGACCGATAAACTGCTTAATGATACCTCGCCTCTATCGACCGATAAACTGATACCTGGCCGATAGCGGCGGATCGAACGAACGAACTATGCAGCCGCTTTCACGGGACGGAACTAGTAGTAGTCGTCTGGATAACCGAACCACTCGTAGTGAAGCGGACGTGAATCTACTAAAACAAACAAACAACCGGTACTAGTGCCCAATTACACCTAAATCACCACCCACAAGATATATTTAAGTCCGTAACTAAACTAATAAAGC